AGCAATTAGGAAAGGAAGAATAAATAAAAGCAAAAGGAATGTTCTGTAATTAGCTACCTACTCATTGTTTTTCTGTTAAGACATATATGGCTACGGTTATCACACCACCTAATTTTCTTGACACCATTACAAACTATTCTGTGATATTTCCAGCTAGATTTATTACAAAATTGGATCAGATTTATTCTTTTTTTCCCCACCAACGTCCATTAAAGCTTTTTCTGCTGTTATCGACCCAACATTGACCCCTGGATCTGTGCCATATCTAGTGGTCAAGAAAAAGTGGAGGCAAATATACAAATGTTGGAAAGACTGTTGAGAGGTACAGCAGAATGTACTGCAGCAATCACTAATTAACCTACACACAATTTAACATGATTAAAATAAGAAAGATTGTTCTGCTGTTGTGCACCAGGAGCTGGTGGTGCAGTTTGTTTGGAACAGAGTTGAGCCAACATTGTCTGAAGAGAGGTGAGGGGGTTAATGGACACACAGTGATGGTACAATCGGGCTCTACCAAGTAAAAGCTTCACAGAATACTTTTGTTCCATAGAATTTAGCAAACACAGCCACAACACCCCCCCACCAACTAACCAGAGGAGGTAAAGAAACAAAGCTAGTGTGATCTGAGGATGCTCTCTGAATGTAGTCACAGACTTCTCCCGCCTCTTTATTACAAAAACCCTAGTCTCCCAGCTAGATACAGGCAGTAGGGAAACATTTAATTGTCACCATTTAAATGAGCTGCTTCTTTAAACAAGGTAACTGGCTGCACAGCATTTCGAGCACATTCCACTTAGGAGCACTGGAGTAATTAAAATTTCTTAGTTTAGTCAAAAATTCTCACAAATTCACATTTTGGTGCTGCATCTGAGCTAGGTCTCTCTTACTTAGTTTACCCCTTAACTAGGTCATTGTCATTCCTTTCACCTAGGCCTCCCCTATCCCATTATGTCCCCCAGTCTGGGAGAGTGAGACCTAGAACAATGCTTCATCCTCTTTACCACAGATTGGCTGTGGCATTGCTGGGATTTGAAATCTTTATCTCCCGGTGATTGGGCAGTTAGGCAGTTGTGCCTCTGAGGAGCTGTGAAAGAACATGCTATATACTAGGTCCAATAAAGAACAAATATTTACACAGAGCAGTGGTCAGTGGGCAGGTTGTGTATCATACTCATAAAACAGCATCAATGCTTATATAAGGAAAGTTAATTTCAATAAATTTATTCAAATAAAAAATGTAAAATTATATTTTATATCATGTTGCACATTTTTATGTGTTCTCATTTTTTCTTTCCATAGCTTTATGGCTGGTGAGTGGCACAACTGCCTAACTGCCCTATCATTAGGCCCACAATACCACAGTCATCTGTGACCAGGAGTTTTGAAGCAGAAAGCCTTCACCCTTCAAGCCTGTTGGCATCATGTGATAGGGGAGTCCTAGATACCAAAAGGGAATTTACACTGACGAAATCTGGAAGGTGAGGGAAGGTGAGTAAACTTGAGTGCCTGTGTCACAGGTGAAGACAGTAGTGGACGCACATGTATTTGCCCAGACTCTCACCTGCTCCACCTTCACCCTGGATCTGCCCACTCATAATTGCACACACCTGCAGCTATGTTCTAGACTCATTAAATCTAGTATACAACCTCAATTGGTTGGCTTTGCTCCTTGCTCCGTTTTTGTGCAGTCCTGAGCTGTTTTTGTATTCTCTTGTGTTTTGACCATTTCTTCATATATTGTTAGATTTTGAGTGAGGATTTGCCTAGTTTGTTCCTGCCTCCCTGTGTTCTGACCCCTGCCTATTGTGATGACTGTGAGTGTTGGATTGCCTCTAATAAAGCTGTCCAGCACATGCTTGCCAATGCCTCCTGGTCAATACAGCTTTGCAACTTGTATTGTTCAGTATTAAAAACTGAGATATGAAAACCTTTTGACTAAACTCAGAAGGAGTGAGGCAACACTCCATTTTGACTAACTCAAAAAAGCTGTACAGCCAGTTGGCTTATAATTTTCAGTCAACCTGACTTTTTTATACAGTTCAAGTTGCTGGATGAACACGCTGGAGGGTAATGTAAGTTTGTAAATGGAACTCATCCCGTATAACTTTGAGCTTTTGTGGTGAATAATGAATAGATGTACAAACTGTCACCCTTCAACATCTTACTCATGAAGGCTATGGTTTCCAAAATGCATACACCATGCATTTTGTACCTTATGCAATTATTTTAGTTGTGCAGAGCAGGGGGTCTCCAAGAAGGTTGAGAATCACTGTCTTACGTTCTAACTAACACAAAAATTAATATAGTAAGTCTTGTGGCCAGGGAAGGCAGTGTTTTGGGTTTAGAAGCAGAAGTGTTGCTCTTTGCTAAAGTGAATTTTTCAGCAACCTTAAACAGGTATAGCTGTTTTTTTTTTGGTGATAGATACAGATTGTGGCAATGCAATGGCCTTTGACTTACCACAGACCTGTAAGGGTGAAGACCACCCAGTGGGATTATTATTATTCAGGCCACACGGGCTCAGGAATTCAGAATGCTGACAGGCACCTTTCTATCATACTGGACGATTTAAAAGGGTATTAAGCCTTTTCTAGGACTTGGCAGTGTCTGGTGCTACCCTCAGTGATAGAGAATTTCTCACAAGCAAATGTTTGAGCTTGTGTAATCATTCTTAGCCATTTGATAATTTGGTTCTGATTGGATTCCTGATGAAAACTCGTTTTGCCTTCTGATTGGATCCTTTATTTCAGTCTGAAGGCCCACGTTTGCATGCTTATTATTATCATGATATGTAAGGATTTTCATAATCCAAGACAGAGTTGCTGTGGTAAAAACCCTTGAATCCATAATCTTCATAACCCCACAACTTCAGGCTGAAGTTCCTTCTTGGTTTACTGCATAGAACTAAGCATGAAATACCTTCACATCTACAAGTCAGTGGATGGTTCTATAAATTGCTATTTTATAAATGAGATGTTTGAGTATGAAGAACCTTTTTAAAGTGTACAGAACCGAAGCATGATGTCATTTTTTTCCCAAAACCATACATCCAAGTCAAGGGCCTTAACATAAAACAGCAACATAGGGATGAACATTAGAACCCAATATCTTTCCAGGCTGAGTTTATGGTTGAAGCAAGCACGGTGGATTCAGTAACTGGAGAGCTTAGACATCAGGGTCACAGCTGTTTGCTCAGCATTGCAGTTAGACGATTCAACATATCTTTTGGGTTGAGTTAATTAGATGAGCACAAACTGAAAAACAAAAAGAAAATCAGGAGCTAACCATGCAAGGTAACTAAGAAACCTCCAGTTAATTTAAATTATGTTGTTGTATTTCTTCTGATTGATAATATTTCTATTACATCCAACCCAGACCAAACCCACATTTCTTGCCTATTTGCTGACAGCGTCCCGTGTCCCTTTGCCCTGGGCAGTAGGCCACAAGTCAGCAAACATGGCTCTTCGGCACAGTTTAATAAGGCATCTACTGCCGCTGGTGATGGCTTATGCTAGTGAGAGCACTTTCTTTGAGTGCACTTCCTATCTAGAAAGCTGACAGTGGAAAAGTGGCCCATCTCCAAACTAACCGCGGGCAGAGACTGGCGCGCCAGTCGCTTTTTTCACACCTGTATTCCGTCAAGCCCCGCTTTCTGTGCTGGGATTGGCTAATAAGATCCGCCTCCTGCGTTGGGATAGGCTAATAGTGTCCCTTTTCCTGCACAACGATTGGCATACCGCAGATGGAAATGATCTGTTAGCCGATCCAAACGCAGTAGGGGCGGAATTTTCCGGAATTCCGGTGTGGAAAGAAGTAATAAAAGCGCTGCGGGACTACAGAAAGAGGAAAGAGAAGGAAGGGGGAGGTATAAGAAGAGGAGGTGGAGGAGGGTTCCTCTCCACTTCCACAACCTGAGTGAGTGACAGCTCCTGTAAGAGAAGTCAATTACGCTGTCAAAATCAATCTGATCAGATTTCCATCTACTTCCTCTGGCGTATCTGCGCATATTCGCTATAAGAACTGCAGGCTGCTTCCGACAGGCGTTCAGAGCGAGAGAGTGAGGGGCAGAAAACTGCCGGTGGTCAGGAGGGGTAGCACTACTCCGTTAGAGCTCATTTAAAACGAATGGGATCTTCATCATCCATTACAAGCCTGATCCTCTCCCTCCCTGCCTTTCTCTCTCTCTCTCTCTCTCTCTCTCTCACTCACTCTCCCTCTCTCTCTTTACGTTCAGCTGCTTCCAAACAATACTGCGAAAGCGTGTGATACTAAGCTGATAAAAGATGCTAACAGTAGGAGTAACGCTCTGGGCGACTAGACAGAGTAACGTTGGTGACGTTAATGACTATAATTATACTAATAATAACGGAATTTGTACAGCAGTGTCAGTTGGTGGCGTTTCAAACTGAGAGCGGTTACATTAGTGTGTCATCATCAGGCATCTCTGTATTGATGTTTCATTTGCAGTTAGCGCGAGCCCTCCTTCTCACCGACTGCAGTGTGTGTGTGTGTGTGTGTGTGTGTGAGTGCGGCTCGTGCCATCACAGCGGGTTCGTCTCCTGTACGCGCGCGCAAACACAAACACCGCATCGCCGGAATCACACCGAAAACACTCTTTCACAGCCACCTGAATCTCACCACAAAACCCAAGCCACATCTGGCCAAAATCTGTCCCACAAGTTGTTGCCTGGCTTGGTGCTGTATTTCTATGTGAGACCCCCTCGACGCTCACACACACCATTCCCCCCCTCCATCACACCTCGAGCGCTCCTGCGACACACTGGGGCTGCGAGGATATGCTGCATGCAGACAGCGTGCGAGCCCAACTCTAGCTTTCACTCTCCATTTGACCGCAACACATCTCAGAATGTGCGCTACTGATAAAAGAACCCCCCAAAATCCTGTTCATACTGCACTGGCCACACTGTCGCCCCCGCATCTTTCCCCCTTGGAGCCAAACGCGCTCCAAACTTTTGCAACACGCAGCGTGCGCTTACCGTCAGTTCTCGTCCGGATGGCTCAGTTGATGATGATGATGATGATGATGATGAGAGATTTGGTGAAGGAGCTGAGGAGCATCACGGAGCAAAAATGTAAAAAATAAAGTCAGCTCCCGTGGCTCCCCAGGAGTTCAGTCCCAGAGCCGTTCAGTCACATCACAAATAACAGCGCTCAAGTCGTCCACGCAGCCGAACCGGTAATTCCAGCGCGCCTTCGGCTTTCTGTGGGAACTGGAAGGCTTGGCTTTTTCACGGCGGACCCATGATGGACCACGCACGATTTTCCCCTGTGTTTAAACAAGCCGTGGCGGCGGTCTGAGAGTCCGCAGGTATCCGGCACTGCGAGCTTCTCTGAGAGGGGAGTAGGGGTGAGGGGAGGAGGGGGGTCCTTCGAGAGATAACAAGTGTGTGTTCTGCTGCAGGAGTCCGCTCGGTCCTAAAGCCCGCAGCAAGAGACAGCTCGTAGAAAAATCAGTGCTGACGCGCGGGGTGTGCTGGGAAATATCGCCAGTTTAGGAGAAATCTGCAGGGGTTGCACGTTACTAAGAACAGGATTGATGGACTGTCAGGCAGGCATGAAACTTCTAGCCAAGGTGTATAAAGCCCTATTTGAGCTGGATTAGTTTTGCATGTCTGCTGAGTAATAATTCCAGACCTTTGAGTTCCCCCAGCAATAGCAGTCCTATTTGCATTGATATCACAGTAATGTAATAATGATGTAATAATAAAATTGAAAAGTAGAAAACAGCACCCACTTTTTTGCGAACTGAAGACAAGGCTAATAGCTGAAATGGAGCTTGCTTGGACCCAAATCTGTAATACTCAAATTCATGACAGGTCTACCGAAATCCACAACAGTTTTGGTGATGGCCAAATAACAAGAAGGAAAATAAAATATCTTCAAAGTACTACTCACAAGGCAAAGCATTTTCCGTATTATTGGATAGAGCAGTTGATGCATTGGATGTAGTGCTAACTAGCTAAATATCTACTGTATGCTAGCCTTTTCATGTTAAATAAGCAATGCTCAGTCAGTATTGCATCCATCTCATTGAAATAAAGACAAGGGACTTTCTCCGGACCTCTTTTTATGTTTGACGTATACTCTACATATTCATTTTAGGGGATTTTTCATGGCACTTTGATCAATAACCAAAAGCAGTTGTGTCACAATTCAGAGTATATTCCCACCCATATGCTGTGATTCTACACCGTCATTTAAAATTGCCATTGATAACAGGTGTCACCCCACACTGAAAGGAGAGTCTTCACCCTCATCTGGTGTCGCATTTTGAGTCTTTTTTTGACACCATATTTACCATAAGTGTGGTGTCTGTCACGTAATACTGATATTAACACCCGCATGTTGTGTGATGTGATGTTTCAATATTCATGTTGTTTCAAAATATGCTATTTGGATAATTTGTGGAAATTACACAGATCCATTATCCTGTACAAACTGGCCAGTCAAATCACACACTGTAAAACCTAATGAGTTCAGTAAACTTGGTAAAAAAATGGTTTAAGGAAACCGATTGCCTTAAACCATTTAAGTTTAGGTTACTCATATCATTTGACCATGAGTAATTCCCTGAACTGAGTATGAACAACACATTTATTTATTGTTGTATACACTTAACTAAATTGAGTAAATCACTCCTTTGATCTTAAAATGATTGAGTATTTTGGACTTATATAAAAATGGTACTAACTCAATTCAATTAAGTAATTCTAACTTATGTTTACTGCCTTTACACAACTCTAGCCACTCATGTTCAGCTAACTCAGTTTCTTCCATTAACAGCTAAACTAGGCTTTAATTTTATCAAATTTATACAGAATGGCAGAACATTTTTGGCACGATTGCCTTAAACAGGTTAACTTAATACTGCTCTGGACCATCTCGCCCAATACTGACAATTTAGCCCAGAATGCAGAAGTGGTCTGAAGTGTTCAGAACCATACTCAGCAGGTGGGGTCATGGCAGCTCAGCTTACTCAGCACTGATCTACAGTCAGCACTGACTGAGCTCCCAAGATTTAGAGAATAAGTATGCACCCAAGGGAAGGTAGGCTGGGGAGAATGACTACACAGAGATGGTAGGTTAAACAAGGTGGAAAGACTTGCCCAATATCCCTGCCACCAAGATCCAATAGGAATGATGCAAGTTTTACTCAAGGTTGCATTGACCAAGCTTTCATCAAGTAAAGCTGAGAAGTCTTAACAAACTAAACTAAACTGCAAGAGGTTCAGAGATCCCATTTGAATGTCCAAAGTTGTCAAAAGTTACATGAAAAGCATGAGAAGTCCAAATCATTTGAGTGTAAACCCAACCCTGTCTGTACCCACCTGTAAAGCCAACTTAAATAAAAATAATGAACATAAAACACTTGAATAAAGTTACCTTAACTCAAAATATGCTAACAAATGATTTTATTAAAATGACTGATGTTACTATCTCAACAATTCATTTTTGAGTTGGTTTGAATTTGTCAGATTAAGTTACTCCAACTTTCTGTAGTATTTAAGTTGTGTTAACTTAGCCTAAACATTCTTCAGTCTGTAGGACTTATGCAAATTAATTGAACTAACTTTACCTACGTAACTAAGGATTATACAAGAATAGTATGTGTTAATAGATTTGCATTAGTAAGTGTAACAGATGAGTAAAGTAAACCCAAAAGAAATAACTTGTTACATTTTACAGTGCACACAAATGATATTACTGGACCTCTTCCAGCTCGAATAGGGCTTATAATTCATCAAACTCTGAGTTTCTTCAGTAATAGTAGTCCTGTTTGAATCAACTTTATAATATTGTAATAGTAAACCTGGTAATAGACATGTGCAAAAAAATGGAATTCTTAACACAGTTATCCTCAAGTTAAAAATAGGACTACTTTAAAATATTTTTGGCACTGGGGTAATTTGAAAGCTAATAAAAATGAAAATATTTGAAGGTACTTCTCAAAGGGCAATGCAATTTCTGTCCCATGGGGTGGTATTTTTTTCAAGCCGAATGGGCCCACATTTCTAGCCTATTGCTATTGCAGCTTGTATTAACTGGAAGTTCATTTTTGTTGTTTGTTTTAATGCTGACATGAACCTCTGAGCTATGGCGTTTCAATTCGGGCTTACATTACCGGACCTCTTCTGGAAGTTTGAATAGGGCTTAATCATAGTAATGCTGCCTTCACACACTGGGTGGTTATTTGTAGAGTCTCTGTGATTTTTGAACTTTGTTATTGGAAACATGGAGGCTTGCTAACCAATTAGGTAAACACAAACACAAGCAGAAGTTGATTTAAACTTTTTTTGAAGTTTGAACTGATGTAAAATCTAAATCTTAATGTGGCTTTGCATTGTTTCATTCAAAATATTTATATGGATTGAATAAAACCAGTGAAATGTTCCATTCATTTCAAATAATAAAGCCTATGGTTACAGATGTAAGCAAATTTCTATGGCTTAATCAGTGACTACTAAAGCCCTAAAAGCTTTTGCTTAAACTGTCATCCCTCAAGAAGAAGACAAGCATCAAGACACTTCTCTGTCTTGGCACCTAGGTGGTAGAACAACTTTCAATTGGCTGTCCACTTTCTGACTTGTGTTACAATTATGTCTTTTTTTCTGTATTGTGTATGTCTTTCTTTCTAGATATCTAGAAATCTGTTGTTTTGGATAGTATCTTAGGTAATTTAGGTTCTAATCTATTTGTACTAGCTTGGATACATTCTTGAGTGGACAGCAAAGCACTTCTGTAAGTCACTCTGCTAAGTGTGCCAAAATGCGTGTAAATGTACAAAAGGAGAAGCGCGTTTAGAAAAAGCTACCATTAACAACTGTAACCCTTCTCTTCTTCACCATGATTAAAAAGGTAAAGGTTGAAACAAACTGTACATTTAGGTATCAAAATTTATGTAGATTTCACCTGCAAGGATGGATTACAGACCGGGCCAGTGCCTGGGGGGGCTGAGACCCCAGAGTTAACTGGGGACAATACACTGAAGATGTAAAAATTAGATTATGAATAGTTTTATGTATAATCAATTTTGCATTATAAAATTTAAAAGAATACAATCCCCTGAGCACTAAAATGTGCAGAAATACGTATGTAAAGCAAGCAATATGTAGTTTTTTTTCTTCAGCAATTGATTTTTCTAGTATTTCTGTTTTTGTTGGTATTTTTACAGATGGGGTGGGAGGGTGGTGGCTTTCACAACTTGTAAGTAAACAAAGAGACATTCATGTGTAACATTTAAGTTATAAACTCAATTATTAACAATAATATTCTATGTAATATTATCATAGCATTAATCAAGCAAACTGGCCTCACTGTATAATCTTGAAGTCCTTCTTCCATTCATCCATGGGACTTCATCAGTTGTCTTCACCAGCTGACTAGTTATCTGATGCCTTTTGGAGGAGTGCTGAAAAGTCTTCAAGATTAGACCACAAATCCAGTCTATTTCTTTAACTTGAATGATCGAAAATTTTCAGAGATATTCTTCCTCAGAAGCCTCAAGAACAAACAAGAATAAAGTAGCAAGACCACAATAACATGAGAGAAGGCTCTTAGAGTACGTGTCCACTAAAAATTCACAATCCAAAGTTTTTCTTTAATTTTTAAAAAAGAGTTGTGAACAAATGAACAAATGTATTTGGGATAACCAGTGGCAAGAACTTGACTAATTAAAGTCCAGCTTGTTTTAACTTTACACACATTTAGGCGGTAGTTGCTTAGCAGGAACCAATCAGGCAATTACGTCTGTGTGTCTGTGTGTTCACCATCTTCTGTGACTCCAAATATCAGAAAAAGTGCACGAAAATATGATGTTACTGGTGAAATGAAAGATGGTACAAAACTAGAGTACTGTATGTTGGATGCCATGTGATTGTAATTTCAATCATGTATAATTCAATAACATAGCTAGCGTGAGTGCTTAAAAAAGTAAAAAGAGAACATACTTGATTTATTTAAAATCCATGATTTCATGATTGACAGGTCTATTTTGCTATGTAGCCGGACTTCTCCTC